CACAATTGTTGCCACGGTTGAGCCCATTGATGCTGCCACTTTGCCAATTCATCTTGCAGGGGGTATTCCTCTTTTTCTCTGACCTTACCAAACAGGATATCCTTCTCCAGTGACTGGTCCCTCCTGGCACTCTGGTTGCACTTCTTCCAACACAGATCTATTTGTTCTTTTGGCAGCCCATGGCACTTTCAATATCCTCCTCCAACACCATAACTCAAAAGCATCAACTCTTCTATGGTCTTCCTTATTCAGTGTCCAGCTTTCGCATGCATATGAGGTTATTGAAAATACCATGGGTTGGGTCAGGCATACCTTAGACCTCAAGCTGACATCTTTGCTGTTGAACACTTTAAAAAGGTCTTGTGCACCAGCCTGAAATGGCTAGAAGAACAGAAGCTACATCTTGAAGGAAAGATCAACAGGAAAAATACAAAACAATGGCAGTCCCACTGACTTACAAGATCATCAAGTTGCTTGCCCAGGAGACATCAAGGCAAATGGACAGGTCCCTTCAGGGTGTTGGAGAAAGAATATTAAAAATATTATGAGGAAATTGATCAGGTCATCAAAAACCTCCCAACTATCCCCTCAGGGCAAACACCCTTCCAAGATCAGGACTCAATAGGAATAAACGAGCAGCCATGCGCTCTAATTAGTGACTACATTGGTCACCAATAAGGGGAAGTGAGGGAAAAACAGCAATGAAGCTGTGAGCTAAACCCTACCATGTTCAATAGACTCCTGTGAACCCAGGTGGAGACCTGGTTGGCCAGTAGTGTAGCAAGACCTGGGGACTCTTGGGCCTAGAGTCAATGACATAGCCACAGAAGACTAGAGTGGAGACTGAAGTGTCCAGCTGATAAGAAGAGAAAGCATATGCACAAGAACACCCATACTTGCAGATAATACCCACTTGACCTGCCTTCAGTGGCTAGATGATCAGAACTCAACTAGAAGAAGAAAGAAGAGGAAAAAAAGAGTAATCTGATACCATTTGATGAACTTTACCTACACCTATGGAAGCAGTAGCACAAAAGAGGGAACAAATCTTTACAGCTAGGATAATTCCCACACCTTCAAGACACAGGGTAGACAGGGATGGGCAACTTGGACATTGGCAACCCAAAATGAAGGGCTACAAAGGCAAGAAGTGACTGGCTTACAAGCTTTCAAGAGGGTGCCTAGATCCAGAGGGCATGGAGGAAGGTTGACTCTCCACTAAGTAGTATCCAGTCTGTCTGGGCGGGACTGATGAAAGGAGATGGGGATAGCACTCATGTGGCACAATAATGAATAATTGCTATCAGGACTGACTGTGAGGGTTGGAAATGTAAAGGTAGACATTTTGTAGCATAAGGAGGGGAGTGGTTGACTTTGCAGTCTAAGAGCAGAGTTCCTGCGACCATTACGGGAGAAGAGTGGAGTGCAGGACTCTACCCAGAGAAACAGTGACGCCAGAGATGGAGGCAGAGACGATGACATGGAGAGATGGAGTGGTTAAGGATTCTAGATCCAGAGAAGGAGAGGAGCTGTGTGCTGACTACCAGCGGGTAGGCTTGCAGTGTATACCCTTTGGTTGGTTGATGATGCATGGAGGGGATTGTAACCATGGCAATGTAATGATATGTGATAGGATGAATGTAAAGTTAATGTTCTCCCATGTAAACTACCACACAATTCACAATAAAAATTTTAAAAAAAACAAAACTATCAGCATAAAAAAAAAAAAAAGGTCTTGTGCAACAGAATTGCCTAATGCAATACATCATTTGATTTCTTGACTGCTGCTTCCATGAGTGTTGATAATTGATACAAGAAGAATGAAGTCCTTGACAACTTAAATCTTTTCTCTGTTGATAAGACTGTTGTTTATTGGTCCAGTGGTGAGGATTTTTGTTTTCTTGATATTGAGATGTAATCCATACCGAAGGCTGAGGTCTTTGATCTTCATCAGTAAGTATTTTAAGTCCTCTTCACTTTCAGTAAGTAAGGTTGTATCATTTGCATATCACAGGTTGCTAATGAGTCTTCCACTAATCTTGATGCCATGTTTTTCTTCATATAACCTGGCTTTTTCTATTATTTGCTCAGCATACAAGTTGAATAAAAATGGTGAAAGAATACAACCCTGTCACACACCTTTCTTAATTTGAAACCATTCAGTGTTCCCATGGTCTGTTTGAACAACTGCCTCTTAGTCCATGTACAGATTCCTCATGAGCACAATTAAGTGTTCAGGAATACTCATACTTTGCAATGCTGTCCATAGCTTGTCATGATCCACACAATCAAAAGCCTTTGTGTAGTCAATAATGCACAGGTAAACACCTTTCTGATTTAAGCCAAAATCCATCGGACATCAGCAATGATATCTTTCATTCCACAGCCTCTTCTGAATCTGGCTTGAACCTCTGGAAGTTCTCTGTCAATGTATGATTGTAGCCGTTTCTGTATTATCTTTAGTAAAACTTTACTTGCATGGGTTATCAAAGATATTGTCTGATGATTTACACATTCCTTTAGGTCACCCCTCTTTGGGATGTGATCTCTTCCAATCAGTCAGCCAGATAGTTGTCTTCCAAATTTCTTGGCATAGATGAGTGAGTGTCTTCTGTGCTGCCCCACTTTCTTGAAAGATATCCCATCAGTTTTTTATTCCATCAATTCCTGGTACCTTGTTCTTTGCCAATTCCCTCAATGCACCTTGGACTTCTTCCTTCAGTATCATGGGACCATTTCCTTTTGGTACAATGACTGGTGTATTCCTTCCAACTTCTTTTGATGCTTTCTGTATCATTCAATAATTTGCCCAGAGAATCTTTCAATAATGAAAGTCAAGGCTTGAATTTTTCCTTCAGTTCCCCCAGCTTGAGAAATGCTGAGCGTGTTCTTTCCTTTTGATTTTCTTTCTCCAGATCTTTGCACATTTCGTTGTAATATTTGACTTTGAAATTTCTGTTCAGCTCTTATACCTCATTATTTCTTCCATTTGCTTTAGCATCTCTACTCTGGAAAACAAGTTTCAGAGTCTCTTCTGACATCCATTTTGACCTTTTCCTTCTTTCTTGTCTTCTTAATGACTTTTTGCTTTCTTCATGTATGATGTTCTTGATTTCATCCCACAACTCTTCTGGTCTTTGGTCTTTAGTGTTTAATGTATCAAATCTGTTCTTCAGATGATCTCTAAATTCAGGTGGGGATATATTCAAGGTCATATTTTGGCTGTCATGGTTTTGCTTTCATTTTCTTCAGTTTCAGTCTGAATTTGTATATGAGTAATTGATAATCTGTTCCACAATCTACCTCTGGCCTTTTTTTGACTGATGATGTGGAACTTTTCAGTTTTTTTTTTCCCCCACAGATACAGTCAATTTGATTTCTGTGTATTCCATCTGATGAGGTCCATGTACATAGTCATCTCTTTTGCTGTCTAAAGAAGATATTTGAAATGAACGAGTCATTGATTTTACAGAATTCTATCATGTGATCTCCAGCATCATTTGTATCACTAAGGCCATCTTTTCCAACTATTGATCCTTCCTCTTTGTTCCCAACCTTTGTATTTCAATCACCAGTAATGATCAATACATCTTGATTGCTTGTTTGATCAATTTCCAATTGAAGAATTTGGTAGAATTCTTCTATTTCATCTTCACTGGCTTTAGTGGTTGGTGCGTAAATTTGAATAATAGTGGCATTAACTAGGATTCTCTGTAGGCACATGGATATTATCCTGTCACAGACAGCGTTGTACCTCATGACTGATCTGGATATGTTCTTTTTGACAATTAATGCAACAGTATTCCTCTTCAATTTGTCATTCCCAGCATAGTAAACTATGTAGTTGTTAGATTCAAAATGGCCAATACCAGTTCATTTCAGCTTACTAATGCCCAAGATATCCATGATTATGCATTACATTTAATTTTTTACAACTTCCAATATTCCTAGATTCATATTTAGCACATTTCATGTTACAACTATTAATGGCTGTTTACAGCTGTTTCACTTCATTTTGAGTTGTGTCCCATCAGCAAATGAAGGTCCTGTGGGCTTTACTCCACTCACGTCATCACAGTCAACTCTACTTTGATTGAGGAGGCAGCTCTTCCCTAGTCACATTTTGAGTACCTTCCAACCTGAGGGGTTCATTTTCCGGCACTATATCTGACAGTATTCCTCTGCTATTCATAAGGTTTTCAGTGACTAAATATTTGGAAGTAGTTCGTCACTCTTTCTTCCTAGTCTACCTTTGTCTGAAAGCTTATCTGAAACCTGTCCACCATGGGTGACCCTGCTGGTACTTAAAATATCCATGGCATAGCCTCCAGAATCACAGCAACTCACAAACCACCACAGTACGACAATCTAATCAACTCACAGCAACCCTGTATATGGTTTTCTGACAAGCAGCTGGGTTCCAACTCACAGCAGCAATGTATAGGGTTTCCGAGGCGCCGGTGGTGGGTTCGAAGCATCGGCCTGCGACTAGCCTACCAGTGCTTCTCCTACAGCGCCACACGAGGACCCTTGGGCAAATAAATAGACTAGGTTGTTGTTATTGTTAAGTGCCGTAGAATCGATTCCGAACCATAGGACCCTGTATAGAGTTTCCAAGGAGCAGCTGGTGAGCTTGAACCACCAATCTTGCGGTTCAAACGACTTTGCAGTCTGATGCATTAGCCCACAGCGCCACACCAGTAGTCAATTCCAAGTCTTCACACTGAAACTACATTTCCCAATTAGCAATGCGCTGAGACGTCTTTTTCCTTTTGGGTCCAGACAGTAAGTCCCATGATACAGCGCAGCCTATCCTAGGCCAGTCATTGGCCGACTCTCGCTAGCCTCTTGAATTGGACGCCTGGGAGTCCGTACGCGTTGACATCAGCTCGGTGACACCCATTCACTCTTTTTTCTTTGCGTCCACTTAGTTGCTAGAGTTCCGTAGCAGCAAGAGTTATTGAGCGGGAAGTTTTGTGGTGGTTTGGTTTCCCTTGGAGCCGCATTGGTTTAAAATCGCGAGGAACCTGAAAAAAGGTCGCCACTCTTCTGAGTTTGCGATCTCAGAGTCCAAGATGGACAAAGTCTGTGCAATTTTTGGAGGTTCCCGGGGCATTGGCAGGGCGGTGGCCCAGTTACTGGCCCGGAAAGGCTACCAACTGGCGATTATCGCCAGGAACATGGACGTGGCCAAAGCCGCCGCCGGGGAGCTCGGCGGTAGGTATTGTGTTGGAATTGTCTGTGTGGCTGCAGTTCAGGCACATTTCCCAATCAGTCTTTTAACCTGGCCTTTATGTCCCTGAAGTTTAGCTATTCAGCTTTGCAAAAGGTGCAGGAGCAGTCCGTCGTAAGTGTAGATTGACGAAACCCCTGTGCCACCCACCCTATTCCTGGCAGGACGTCTCTTGTCACATTGTCTTTTGCCATGTGACACTTGGAGTTTTCTCTAAATTGAGATTTAGCTGTCTTGTAGAGGCCCATTCATACTCACTCACCTCCCTGCTACAAGGGCAGAGCGTGAGGAGCTAGCAGCTTTGTTTGGATATTGGTTAACTCTAGGGAAAAGGGCGCTGCGATGGTGGCGCGAGATCATGGACAAAAAGGAAAGGTAGGCGTGTTGCTGAAGAGGGCTGTTCCTGCCCCAGTCAGTGCACATGCACAAAGCTGTGTTTTCAAAGTGAAATCGTTTTCAGTAGGAGCCAATTTGGTAATCTAGCGGAATGCATTCATAAGTAAAGTTGTTAAATTGTTTGGTGAGTTTTATAAATGAAACATATTCTCCCAAATTCCTTTTTTTTTTTTTTATTACATTCTATTTTAGTGCTGGGTGGTGCTGTAGGATAAGCACTAGACTGCTAAACTGCAAGGTTGACGGTTCAAATCCACCAGCTGCTCCTTGGAAATCCTGTACAGGGTTGCTTTGAGTCGAGGCAGGCTTGAGGGCACTTAATCCCATTTTTCTGCTTTTTAATAATGGATTCACTATTGTTTCACATGTTTTACAAATACAAATATAAATTTTTCGTGATGGCGGGGAGAAATAGGTTATTGGATAATAAGTAGCTACGTGTTTAGTTATTTGAATGGGCAGATTCACCTCATTTGCTACCAGGAAGGTATTGGGAAGAATAAAGAAGTCCCGAGGTCCATTCTGTTATCTGTAAGCTTTAAAGTAATATTACTGATTGGGTTGTTATCACTAATTTGACTTTATTGTATGTATACCTTACTCAGAAGAATATTGGACTCTTAAAAGACCAAAATAAATAAATTATACAGAGCAGGAACAATTTCAATGAATACATCTGAATACATTGTATTCATTGCCAAAGTGTTCTTCTGAGGAAGGAAAAAGACTATTAAATTAGATAGAAAGAAGTCAATGGCACAGCTTTGTTGTTAAGTGCCCTAAAGTCTGAGCAGTGGCTGGTGAGTTTGAACCACTGACATAGGGTTCAGACCCATCTTATAATATGGTCCAGTGCTTATCCTACAGTGTCACAAAGAATTGTAAACATGTAAAATGCAGCCCCCAAACACACTTTAAGTTGAGAAAATGTTAAATTATTTTTCTGTATCATCATTTTATTTCTTCATATCTCTCTTCTGGCCATCCCAGGTAGCTTAAACAGAATTTCTTGAGAATGGGAACCCATGACTTACTCATCTTTTATCTATAGATCTGGATTTGCATGGGCTCAGCACATAGTACAAGGAGCACTGTGGTTAGGCATTGGGCTGCTTTCCAAGAAGTCAGAGGTTCAAACCTTCGAGCCTCTGAAAGGAAAAGATGAGGCTGTCTGCTGGTCCCTCAGAGATGTACAGTCTCAGAAACCCTATATAAGGTGGCAGTAAGTCGGAATCCACTCCATGGGAATGAGTTGGGTTGGGTTTTAGTTCATAGTAGATGCTTAACAAATGTATAGTCAATAAATGATTAATTCCAATAATAATTTATAAATAATTTTATTCTAACTTCGTGTAGGTAATCATTTGGCATTCAGCTGTGATGTTGCCAAAGAACATGATGTTCAAAATACATTTGAAGAGATGGAAAAACATTTAGGTCGAGTTAATTTCTTGGTAAATGCAGCTGGTATTAACAGGTTGGTCACCAATTTAAGTACATTTCTAATACGTCTTTAATTAGTATGAATAAGCTATGTGCTTCCCATTAGAAGAAAACTTATGTCTTTAAAAAATTTGGTCTGTTGCAAAAAAAAATGGCACCAGTCATTCCTCCCACAGTACTTTGTGTTCAGCTAGGTTCAAGAGTTCACTGCAGTGATCACACAGAACTCAGACACCATGCTCACAGTTATGGGGTTGATTAGGGAAGTTAACAATTCAGGGTCAGAACTGTTCAGGGCACAGTTCTTCTAATCAGGATAGCTTCTCCTCTGCTTTGCCCACAGCCAGGCCTCTCTATCCTTGACTGCTTTACCTAGGCTCTGCTCTGGTTGGGCAATGTTACAAAGCTCTTTTTTTTAAAAAATGTTTTATTGTGAATTATGTGATAGTTTACATGAGAGAACCTCAGTTCCATATTCATTCCATCGTATATCATTATATTGCCATGGTTCCAATCCCCTCCATGCCTAGTCTTCCGACCAAAGAGCATATCCTAAAAGCCCATGCTCTACCATCCCCCCTCCCCCCCTCAGTCTTCAGCCCACAGTTCCTTTCCCTCTCTGGATCCAAAGTCCCCAGCTGCTTCATCCCTCCATGTCATCATCTCTGTCTCCATCTCAGGCATCCTCGGTTTTCTGGGTGGGGTTCCTTTCTCGGCTCTTATCCGTTGCTGGTCCCAGAGACCTCCGCTCCTAGACTGGAGAAATAATTGTTCTCTTCCTTGCCACAAAACATCTACCCTTGCATTTCCAACACTCACAATCCGTCTTGATAACCATTATTCACTACAGTATCGCACATTACCCCATCTGTATTTCATTTCATCAGCTCCACCTAGACAAATTGGTTAGTACTCACTGGCGATTCTGCCTTCCTCCATGCCCCCTAGCTCTAGGTTCCCTCTTGAAGGCTTGTAAGCCAGTTACTTCTTGCCTTTGTAGTCCCTCCCTCCCCATTTGGGTATCCAATGTCCAAGTTGCCCCTCTCTGTCTGTGTGTGGAGGGGGTGGGAATGTTTCTTACTGTAAGGATTTATCGCCTTTTGTGTCACTGCATTCATATGCATAGGTCAAGTTCATCAGCTTGGATCAGCTCAATCTTCTTCCCCCCACACCCCCTGCCCCTCTTCTCCTGTTTGAGCTCTGATCATCCAGTCATCCAGTCCTGGTCACGTGGGTGTCATCTGCAAGTGTGGGTGTTCTTGTGCACATGCCCTCTCTTCCCATCAGCCGGCAGCTCCATTCT